ACAATTATATTGTTAAAATATTATGCAGAAAATTTACCTGATAGAGTTGAAGTGAGCACGTACGTACTTTTCTTTCTTTTCTTTCTAATATTTTATATTAATTTATGTATAACATGTTTTCTATTAGTACTTATTCTTAATAAAATATCAAAATTTAGTAATTATATATGTATTTTTGTTTTATATAATTATGAAGAAGCTAAGATTTATTATATCAATTTCTTTAAATCATAATACTAATATTATGTTGATATTTCAATAGGTTTTCCTTTTGCGATTTAGCGGGCTCGGAACGTTTGAAGAAAACATTAAATATAGGAGATAGATTGAAAGAAGCACAAAATATTAACACAAGTTTATTAGTATTAGGCAGATGCTTGAAATCCATTCACGAGGGACAATTAACTAGAACGAAAACAGATACAGTGGGACCATTCAGAGAATCTAAATTAACCAGATTATTCCAACGAGCTCTATCGGGAAAGGAGCATCTAGCTTTGATAGTTAATGTCAATCCTCTACCTAATCTTTATGTAGAGACTCAAAATGTTTTAAATTTCGCTGCTATTGCAAAAAGAATTGTTATAGAAAGAAAGAAACGAATACAGAAGAAATCGAAATCAAGATTTTCGCAAATAGTCACACAAAGTATACAGACAGTGACTGATTGGGATAGTACAGAATTAGGAACAGCAGATTGGCAACCTACAAATAGTGTGAAGGAGGATGATTCGGAAGAATACGTTACTTCGGAAGAGTACATGGATCTTGCAAATGAAAATGAAAAATTGAAAAAGGAGATTACTCTTTTAAAGAATTCAGCTTTAATTCGAGATTTTCAAAGCCGACAAGAGATGGCCGAAAAATATATTATGATGATAAACGAGCTTGAAATTGATTGGAAACAACGTATAAATGATGTTGAGACCCAACACGAAGATGCCCTCGAATGGACTGTGAAGCAAGTTGAAGAATTTTACAAGGGAAAGTTAAATCAATTGCATAAGAAGAAAAGAAGACGCAGCGAATGTACTGATGATAGAAATGAAGATGATGATGAAGATGATATTAATACAACTATTAAAGAATTAATTAAAGAAAATACACACTTGAGAGAGAAGAATGACACTTTAAAGAGAACATTAACTGAATTAAAAGTAACAAACGAAACTTTAATTGTGGAAAAAAACAAAGCTTCTTTTGAGTTAGGACTGTCGAAGGAGGACTTAAAAATTGCAAAAAATCTTCTAGAAGCTGCTCAAGAAGATATTTGCTCTACTCAAGATGGTAAAGTTTATATAAAGGAAGTGACTTCGCAATTACTTATTAAAGATGAACAAATCAAAAAGCTCAAAGAAATTCTCAATGAAGCGAAAGAAGAATACATTGCAATTACATATGATATGAACAAGAAAGAACTTTGCATTGATGAACAAGCAAAAGTTATAATAGAAAATAAAGAAAAAATTGAAGATTTAGAATTACATCTTGAAGATGTTAATGTTTGCTTGATGGAGAAAACGAGAATAGTAGAGCTTCTAGAAGAGAGACTTGAACACCAAAATGAAAATAAAATTTTACAATTACAAGAAGAAATTAATAAATTAAAAGATGAAAAATTAGCATTAATTGAGTCTTATGAAAAAAAACTGAACTCCAAGACATCTATTAAAAATGAATATCAAGAGATTATTATAAAAGAACTGATTACTGATGACTTATTAGAAGATTTAAATATGAATGTAAAAGAAGATATGAAAGTAAAAATAGAAAATGCAAAAGTATCTATTAATGAAATTAAAGAAACAAATTCAAATAATTTGAATTCCACAGAAAAGATAATTTCTAAACACATATTGGTGGATACATGTTGCCAAGTAAATATAACAAATGATGAGGATTATAATGACATTAAAAACGAGTTGGAAGAAAGTACTCAGCCTGCTATAACAATAACAACATCAAAAATTCAAACTAGTAGTAAAATTTTGTTAAAAGAAGAAGCTGTTCAGACTGATGAAATTCTGGATAACAGTCAAGTTAATAAATCAGAATTGAATACATTGATGCAAATTAATGATGTTCACATACAATACGAACAGAAATGCTCGCAAGTTAAGGAGTTAACTGAAGAGCTAGACGATATGAAAAAGACATTGCAAATTTTAAGAGAGGAAAATTGTTCAAATAAAACTATCATAGAGGAATATAAGAATTCTACGGAGGTACTTAAGAAGCAATTAACACTCGCTGTGGAAGAGAAACAAAAGATAGAAGAGATTCTGCAAAACACTGACATGGCTTATAAACAAAAAATTGCAAGCTACGAATGTAAAGTCGATCAATTAGAAAAGAATCTTTTAATTGCAAAAGATGATACTCAACAATATTTAGAGAAACTGAAAATTGCTCAGAAAGAATTAGATAACTATATATTAAAGTGTAAAGAAGAAAAAGAGATAAATGTATGCAAATCAGACGAACTTGTTTCAGTAAAAGAAGAAGATAATAATACAAATAACATCAGTATAAATCAGTTAGATGAGTATGCAGAAAAGATATCGCAATTAGAAAATAATCTGAAAACTATAGAGAAACTAAAACATGATATCGATCAATTAAATAAAAATTTGGAAATGTGTCAAATAGAGAAGAGCTGTATACAAGAAACACTTGACGAGAATAATAAGGAATTGTTAAAACTTGAAAGTCAGTTGGAAGAAACGACTGTTAAGGAACGGGAAAAAGATACTGAGATCATAACTCTACAAAAGGAATTGAAATGTATGATTCAAAAAATTGAGAATACCGAGAGGACCGACAATGTAATGGAAACAGAATTGAAATGTGCTATAAATGAATTGACGCAGACGAAAGAAACGCTTTTTGAAAAGGAGCAATATATAAAAGAGTTGAAAATACATTTGGAAAATTTCGAGAAAAATGCAAAGATATTTAATTTACTCGAACAGAACGCGAAGGATTGGCAGATTGAGAATGAACGGTTACGAAATATAAACAATGAGCTAAGAACTAATTTAACACAGAAGGAACACGAGATGGACGCATTCACGAAGAATCGAGATGAAACGGTAACCAAGTATGAAACTCTTGTTAAAAACCAGCAGGAAGATTTGGACATGCAAAAGAGGGAGGTGATGAGATATCAGGAATTATTCCGTCGGCAATTCACGCCAACACCGAATAAGGATGATTACAAAAAGCTGCAGAATCGTATAGAAGTACTCCAAGATAGATTACAGAAATACGAAGTTAACACAAAGGTCAAAAACATTTACGATAGCACGTCGGAGGAAGAAATTTCGGCTCGTCAGATCAAACGGCGAGGAAAGAAGACTGCCTCATCTGTCAAGCAAGAAAATATACCGGTTATCGAATTGTCTGGATCCGAATCGAAGCGCAGCACAAGAAATACCACTTTACCACCGCCGACGGAAATATCGACCGAGAAAAGACGTACTCGTAGAAAGAAACTGTTCCATGAGAATGATTCATTTACAGATGTTGAACCTACTGCAACGCTTTTGCCAACTCGAAATTTGCGAAATCGCAAGAAATGAGGAAAATATATAAGATATTGTAAATACTTGATATATCAAGGAAACCTAATAATCTCTTGCATACTGATGTGATGATTGACAAGTGATATTTAATGAAAACTGCTTTTTTGCATCTGATGATGTAAAACGGAACTTTCATTGGATGATGTTCATCGCGTCCATGTTCAGTAAGCCTGAAGGATCAGAGTACAAATGAAAAACATAGGAATATATAAATCGCGAAACGAATACTGTTTTTCGTGTAATATTTATCAAAGTGTCTTACATACATATACTTAATTACATTTTAACAAAAAAAAAATTAAAAATACTGTTTATTTTTAAAAATCGCATTTTTCCTCTCTTTAAATATTACGTATTTTATATAAAAAATATATACTATTAATAATATTAAAGTGATTTACATATAAGACTTGTAATTTCTAGACTGTGAAAAAATAATAGTATAATTAGATAAAAACTTTAGTATCGTTTTATATCAGTGCTATGTAATTTAAAAATTGATTAAAATTTTTTTGTAAATATTTGCGGAATATCCTTGTATACTAATTCCTTGTATATTTGCTATACTTTACGTACAGAAGAACGGCAGTCAATCAGAACTCGTCAAATAATCGTTAGTTTTGTTTTTCTTTACAGTAAAAATTTTGATTGGTTGCTAACTTTTCTGCTTTCTGCTTTTCTATCGAGGTCTGAACCTTAAAACTTAACAAATCGGAACAGAAAGTTTTTAACTAGACTAATTAGCTAATTCTTAAGCTAGAAACACAATGAAAAGCACAGGCAATAGGAAATAAATTTCAATCTATCAGATCATATCAAATCATATATACTAGAACAGATACTTTCTGATAGATTGAAATCTCTTATTCCCTGTTTCTGTTGCCTGTGCTTTTCATTGTTTTTGGTTTTACGATATGTCTTAAGGGCAGAACCCGTTAGGCCTGTTCTACAATAGAGTCGTAAGAAATTAACCATCATAGTCGATTATTCTTGTCACACTTAACTGCGATTGGCCAATTTCTTACGGCTTACGACTTGCGACCTGTTGTAGAACAGGGCATAAACAGGCATTATTATTATAGAAGGTGTGCGGCAGTCCTAAAAGGTGCTATTTCATTTGTTCGGTTTTGTCATACGACAAATATGTACAGAACAGAAAGGGTATCTCTATCCCATAGCCAATCAATAGGCTTGAAAAAAATTATCGTATAAAAATGCATAAATAAAATATCATCTTAAGATTGGTGTCTCGTGAGTGGAAATTTATAGCGGAACGGAACAGCGAGACCAATCATAATCACAAAAAAAAGCAGAATAATGACTGCAGAGTTGTGATTGGTTGTGATATTTTGCTCTATGAGACGGTCAGTATAAGGCCAGTATAAATGCTCCTTAAATCTGATGCGCACTAGTACGCCCTCATGATCGCAAACGCGAAAGCAACGGGTCGATTTTCCGTACATCAACCAAGACTACTCGAATACTAGCAAATATTAGTGATATTGGACACTGTCAGCATTCTCAGCTGACGCACTAAAGAGTAATAATATATTATCGAAAATGGTAAAAAAATGTACATCTTTAATTATGTCGATCGACGTGTGCTACGGCAAACGTATCTATGGTATTGTGTGTGCATGTTTTGCGTTTTTTCTTTTAGTCGTTTGGCGAAAAAATAGCATCGATCATGCAGAGGCCTGGACAAGACCCTGTTGCCAAGGACGATGTGCCTTGGTGGATGAAATATGCCGGTCGCGGACTTGGCACTGTAGGCAGCATAAGTAAGTCATAGTAGTAAAGTCGATACTGTACGTTTGCAGTTTTTCTTCTTTTTGTACATACATCACGCGTTATTTCAATCTCTCTCTCTCTCTCTCTCTCTCTCGCGCGCGCGCGCGCGCGCGCTCGACATGTGTACCTGCACTCATGTTAAAAACTGTTACTTATTTAATCATCCAATTCACAGTCATAAAATCATCTTTTTATCTGACAACCAATCAGCATTTGCTTCTTTTTACTCTTTTGTATAGATTTACATTTATTACTGCACTGTATTAGAACTTCCTTACTCATTTCTGTCAAATTTCAAACATATATTTATTTCATATTTTAAATATATAGAGAATATACTACATTAGTTCATTATTTAAAATATATGTATTTGTTGATTTATACAACTTTATGTGCAATCCAAATAATTGGATCTGTCAAGAATAGATTTTCAAAGTATGTGCTACAAGTTCTATTTGTCAACAGAATGTCATCAAAAATATAATAGAATAGTAGATTGATTTCAGAAACTGAAATCATAATTTAACACATTACATAATTTAACATTTTTGTAACTTTTTAAGTAATTTAATTCATTTACTTATTAAAAAAATATTCTGTTTGATTTCTGCCAATCTATTATAGGTTCTGCCAGTGAAACATATGTTTAATACAGATACAAATTAATTTGTTATATTAACATTTTATTATTGATTTGTTGTCATATTATAGGTATTTTTCTTATAATGATTCTATAATGAGTAATCTATAGTCTTGGAAGTTAGCTGCTAGCTGACTCTATGGATGGTATTCATGGTCGATTCTTATTTTAAAATCATCTTAAGTAATCTCTAAAGATGCTAATGGAGCTCTCTGATTGGTTCATTCATTTTAAGACTATATTTAAGTCTTAAATATAAGATCCGACTATGAATACTGACCTATGATTCACCAACTATCCTTCAGACTCTTCTAATTCATTGACTACAAATTACGATTTATTAAAATTTATTAAAATTAGCACTGGAAATTATTAATTAAGGGCCTCGATCCTTAAGACAGTCGTAATTGAGTTATAAAGTATGAGTCGTAGTCACAGGTTGATTTCATAATGTTTTAATCAACTTGTAACTACAATTTATGTTCCACTCAGTTACAGTATTTGCTTAAATTCTAATACTACTGGGAACTATAAGATACCAATACTTAATATATTGTAAGATATATGAAATGATTGATGAATATAATTTTTCAAGTCTCTTGATTGGCTACATGATAGACAAATTTTCTTAACATGCTTAACAAGTTTGTGAAATATTAGACTAAGGACCTAAGCACAAAGATCGTAATTGACAATGAATTGTAGAATGTAAGTCAGTTGTAGATTGACCAATAATATTGTATTAATACCCTAATATTAAGTCGACTATATTCAATTTGAGCACTTACAGTATAAGTTCCATTCTGTCCTTATCCATGCATTTATATACAGAAGGAAAGTAGAAGCTTACAGTATAAGTGCCCAAATTAAAATACAACAGAAGTTAACTGTGCTTTCAGACTATAAGTTTTCTCAAGTAAAATGTAATTTATGCAAAGATTGCCTTGTTTATTTTTTTTGCAGTTGCAATTTTTCTCGGAGCATGGAATTGTGCGTCGATACTTTTTGGCCAGATTGATTGCTTAATTAGCGGTATGTGGCAAATGATAGCAGGTTTTCTGGTTGTTATGATCGAAGCGCCTTGCTGCTGTTTGTTTATCGATTTTGTACAAAATTTAAGCGATTGGGTGGAGAAGAAACCCTATTGGAATAGAGCAGCTGTTTATTGTTTGTAAGTTTAATTTTATATCTTTTATAGTATACCTTTTATAATATACCTAGTAAATGTAAAACTCATATACTTTTCTGTATACAGTCATGGACAGAACGGTTGCAACACTTTTTTTCGATGGGTTTCAACCTTGCTCATAGAATAAATAAGAAGCAATCAGTTAGTGAGCAAGCTACATTTTGAAACTCATGAATAAAAAATATTGCAATTAGTCTGTTCACGATTGTATAGTCCTTGGCCATATTATTAGATGCATCATAATTGTTACAATTTATTGACTTGTCACGATTCATATTTTATTGATCCAGATTTATGATTATGATCTATCATTGTTGTAATTGAAATAAAGAAAATGATTATGTATATAATGGATGCATTTAATTTAATCCATTTGTTGCTTAAATATCCAATTAAAAGATGAACTTGTTAATAGTTGTGTAGAAGTGACTATAAAGGCAACGCATGTGTTTTCTGTTTTTATTATAAAAATTTCGTTAATTTTTATTTATGTTGGCAAACTTTAATTTAAACATTACATATAATATTATTAGACTTATATGCAAGAATCTATCAAAAAATGTGCTAATAATGCAATCAAGGACTGTATGTTACGATACATTAAATTATGTCATATCTATTGATTTAGAATAGCATTGCCAGCAGTCTTCCTATGTCCAGGAATGAGTAGTATATTTGGCAGTGGTTTAATATTTACAACGGGTATAATTTATGGCTTGATGTCTTTGGGCAAAAAGTAAGTACAATTTGTTCGAATTTACAAGAGATCATTTGTAAAATAATCAAATTACTTTATTGACAAAAAAAGAAAATGTTTAAGTCAATTAGAAGTGCAGAAATTTAAAAATGATTGATATAATTTATATTTAATCATTAATGTAATAATTTTTTGTCGACAAAATCAATTTTATTTGATTGTAGAAAACTGTCAAATTAAATTGATGCAAGAATATATCAAAAGCATTGCAATCAGTATTGTTACTTCATATAAAACTGATTGTATTTTTTCCTGTTTTCTAGTTACTGTGGTAATTGGTCTAACTTTTAATAATTTCTCATTTTTATGAACATCAGTTCGATCATTAAACTGATGCACATAAAAACAATATGTACTTTTCATTAAACTTTAATGGAAGTGCATATTGTAAGATTACATGATCCAATAGCAATTTTATATAAACTTTTTAGATAAAGTTATTATGTTCAAATTACAAGAAAGATTTATATTATTTCATTCTTATTGAAATTATAATTTTTAAATATGTGTTATGAACCATTTACTTATTTATTTCTCTTTTCGATCACTTGTAATCTTACATTCAAATGTAACATCGCTTTTAATATAAAACTATATAATGCTTTTTTTCCCTGCCTTTTGATGTGTACGTTTTTTGCTTTGAGGTGGAAGAGCAATTTTTATATTGTGTTTGTATTTTTGATGTTAGCTTGCTTTGGTTTGTAAAGAAATATTTTTACAAGATAATTTTACGAAAAATTTTATTTATACAAGAAAAAAGGTTAAAACTGCCAAAAATATTTAGAAATATTTAGAATTTTATCTTAGATAGAAAAAGGAACGACTTGATAAAATTAATGTTATTTCTAATTGTATGTAACGGTCATCACATTATAACTCTTCGTAGAATTAATGTAAAACATGTGTGATGTACAGTAACTTTATCTTGTTCTCGATTTGATCTCTTTACAAAATGTTTACTAATTTGTAACATAATAACAGAGGATCCAGGCCCGACCCAGCAGGAATGACGTCGGGCGTGGGTTCCCCACAAGGTACAGTGCCTCCTACTGCAGATCACCATACTACTCTCATGGAAGATCCTGATGTCTGGAGGCCTACGTAAATCATCAAACATTCATTGCATCACTTCACTAACCAGGCAATAATATACAAGATTTAATGTTACTATAAAATCTAAGTTCAATGCTTTGCTATCATTCCCTTCTCGATACACTTTTTATTCTTTATTGTACAGGATGGCCTACAACACTTAGCAACTCGATATTTCGAAAATTATTTTGTCAATTTTAAAGATTTAGATCTTGAATTGTGTGTGGATTTGAAGGACTTTCAAATGGAAGTTGAACTCCCATTTTTATTGCATATTATTATAACTTACCTCGAAAACTTTTCAAAACACTATAACAAAATATTTTTTCATTAAGTACTTTTCAAGTTATAAGGCATAAGGAAAGTTACAATACTGACATTTGCATTACAAGATGTCCGACTGACGCAAACTTCTTGAATTCAGGATCATAACCTGGATAACATTTGTCACATTTTACAGATCAACATTGTTCTGTAAAATGCTTTGTTTCTGAGATATTTGTCACACTTTAACTGATTTATCCTGATTTATCGCAAATTTGGGTAAATTCGAGCAGAATTGGCTTCTTGTAGAAATCCATAGCTTATCACATATAAAATGATATAAACTGCATAAGGATAGCACAAGATCGTTGGGCTAATGAATATCAATATAAATCAATGATGTCTTAATGTCAAATGCTCATTGATCCAACAACTTTGTGTTATGTTTATATTATTTTGTATGTGATGGCTGTTATACTGCTATGTTATGCTTTTGATAGCAAGTGTATACTAACATTATAAATTATGTAAGACATTGTGAACTTAATGTGTGACATGATTGTGTCTTCTTGATAAGTTATAGATGGGAAACAATGTACACGTATGGCGCAATGAGTTAAAAATAATAAATGTAGATTTACATTTATTTTATAAATACTGTATGTACTTGAAAAAAAATATTTCTGAAAAGATTAATATAATTGTTTATATTTTAGGGCGCCTTTTGGCGAAATGAGAACAACAGCAATGGATATTCAAGCTCCATCATCGAGCATGCGGACCGTACTAGTTGAAAATACTCAGCCAATTGGTGTTAGCACTCCAACTAGTACTCCAGCTAGTATTGTTTGATTAGGAATTATAATTGGGTGAGCAATCTAACATGTTTTGTGCGAATAATTGTAAGCGATAATTAACCGTTTAAATGATCAGTAGCTCGAATAAGTGAATGAACTTCATTTTATCTCAGCTATATCATTGATACAAATTGTGTGATTCAAATGTTCTAATAACTTCATAAGACATTTATTACTTTTAAGAATAATTGAATACAAATCGTATTATAGATATGTAAATTCAAACGTGTTATGATCTGAGAAAGGAAAAAATTTCTCAAACTTTAATATTATATGGAATTTTTCTATTTTAATCTGTTTTTATTTAATGCTTGAGATACATTCGTAAGAGTTGTATGCGTTTGTTATATCCTATGTTTGTATGAAATGTGTATGTAAAATGGAGTGGGACATATTTTGAAGACATATAGAAAAGAATTTGTGTTATTCATTTTAATAATGCCAAAGTCAAAGACTGTCATAGAAAATGATGTTGTTCTATGGGTCTAGCTTTCATAGACCCATCTGTCCATTATATGTCATGAAACGTTACAAACAAATGTAACAATAGAAAATTATAGATGATGTAACATGTTTTGAAGTATATAATATTAAAATTTTATTTTGCAAGCAATTAGTTAAGTAGGTTCAAAAAGAGAAACTAAATAATATTTCCGCGATAATTTCGAAATGTAAAACGCATTGTTTTCAGAATGTCATATTACAGAAACGAGAAAGTCATTAGTTTGATATACTTTTTATGTATAATATTATAGATAAGTTTCTCCTCTGCCAAATAAATATACATGCATAAAATTTAATTATGTTTCGAAATAACATTATTTGTATACATATTTATGCGACAGTATAATTTTTATTACAGCAAATAAAATTAATTAGCATAAAATTAATTATATAATAAATTGATAAAGCCATAAATATACGTACGCAGAGTGAGTTCAATGTTTATTTTCACTAATTGTAATTTAAGAATCTGAAATATTCTATTTCATTTTTCTTTACTATCATTTTATTTTTTAATGTTAAAATATAATGTGTTAATACTGAAAAAAACCACATGTATGTATATATTGATAACTTAATCTATCTTATCGTGCGATATGGCAGAAGGATCTAATAATCTTTATTACTGGCATGTTTTCACATATCAAATTTTATACAATCATGAATATATTCCATACTTACTGGTTATGTCATTTTTTGTTGTATTAAATTTTAATAAAAGAGAGAAGCTTTTTCATCTTTTTTCTTAATATTAAGTTAAAGTCGACTGAAAGCGATTAAGTTTCTCTGAAAAAATAGGTTCCAAGAATTCTTAGATTTATATGAATTATGACTGTGTGACATATCTTGTATATATGCATATATTCTTTCCAATCTATCACATTTCTAATAGTTTATTTAAATAATTGAAAATACATATTTTGTAAGTATAATTTTAAACTATACAAATGTTAGAAATTATGAGCAAGGCATTTAGGGCACCTACAAGTAAACCTAAGTATAACTCCGATTTCTTTCAAATTTAGCATAAATAAAACTGTGAGCAATATTTATCCATGTCTTTTCATTTTGGCCAATAAGTGGTTTTAAGAGTTACTATTCTTTTAATTTTCACTTATTAACTTTGAACAAAATAAAATCTTACAAACAGAATACAAGATATGTATAATCAGAATTGAAAGATACATGGGTAAAATATTTTTCATAGTTCTACATTTATCAAATTTGGAAGAGCACGGAAATTATACTTGAATAAATTTACTTATTATTAGTCACATTTTTGGAAATTTGGTATTATTCTACATACAAATGTTTTCTGAATTACTGATGTTAGATTAAAAGAGAGTGCCAAAAGTATTTGTTTATCATCGCAGTCATTCTGCAAATTTTTATTCATATTTACATGCCGATATTATATAAATTTTTTCGTATACATTTTTTTTGTATCCTAAATATTTAAATTTGTATTACAAGTTGTTTTTCCACTTGTCCCACACATTCCTGTATGTTACTTAACTTATTTAAGAAAAAGATGTAAGATGTTATGTCGTTTGACTTTTACTTTATAAATGATTTATAATAATTTATATTTAGAGAAATGATTGCTCATAATAAATTCTTGTGATTAATGCAGTCACGTGTGTGATTCCACACAACTCGAAAGAATGTATATGTCTGGCGTGTCATTTAATTATACAAGATATCCCACTTATAGAATAAACGTTGAATTAAACATAAAAAATGACAGATTTTTTTAAGTAAATTAAAATCTAATATTAAATTTTAATACAAAAATATCAATAGCTTTTAAATTATAAGCAATTCAAAATGAATGTTTTCTTGAGAGATTAGAAAAGTAAGATAGTTTTCATCTTCATTTAATTCCAAGTGAATTGTCATTAGAGATGTTCAAGTCAAAATTTCAGTAGCTGTACGTATATCGACTAAAAAAATATTTTTTCGACTAAAAAGATATTTTCATTTATCATTCCATATTTTTTATTGAAAAAAAAAATAGAGTTCATTAAATATTTATCATTAATTATTAATCCTATAAGATTCTTAGTTTAATAGTAATCTGTATTCAATAAAATAATATTTTTAAAGATTAAAATTACTAGTGGAATATCCTGTATATATGTTCGTATATACATTCGCTGAGTATTTTTAACTTGAATTTTCAAGATTAATCAGTATATATTAGAATAATCGAATGTAATAACCTCGCAATTAACGAGTATAGTATGGAGAGCAAAAATGTTCCAGCTATGATGTAATAGTAAAATTGTATCTTGTACCAAGTTTTTTCGTTTATAAAACTAATTCTTTCTTCTAGCAATTGATCGGATAATCGGTTATTAAAGTAGAGAAACTTAATGCAAATGCAGTTCAATCACTATTACACTCGAGCAGAATATAGATTTTTGCTCTCCATTATGTAACAATAGAATGATATATGTGATTATTATTCTACAGTTGCTATATTTTCAGACAAAAGCTAATAATTATGTTGTTTAAGTAAATATAGCTCATTTAAAATATAGAAAACAATGTTCTCTGTGCGAATAAAAATTTAAGATATTACATAGTAATGTATGTATTGATTTAATTCAATCGATTTTATATATTTATTGTAAATGCTCCTTTTCCATATATAAATCTCTTACAAAAGTTTGTACTGAGAGAGGGAGAGAGAGAGGAGGAGAGAGAGAGAACGATTATATTAGAAAGTTATCCCCTTTTTTTTTAATAATGCACAGTGAGCCAAGAAACTAGAAAAACTGGCTAAAAGTCACTTACGGTTGAAAGAAAAAGTGTACGTATGTACATGCAATCATTATTGAGATATGTTAATGTACATTCGTGAAAACAGAACAAAGATTGCAACATTTTTTTCAATGGTTTTCAGAATTTCACTATCTGGACATGTAACAAGCAGTTATGGTAATTGTCAAAATCATACGGAATCGAAGTATACAAAATGAATTCAAGAATGTATCTTGTGCGACGCGACGAAAATCTTTAAAATTAATTGAATACTGTAAGATTAAAATAAATATAAAAAATTAAGTTAGATATACAATTTTGTTTAAATAAATATACTAATTGGAGGAGATTTCTCTCATGAACTTGACCTTAACATATATTGTCAAAGTCACGTTAAATGAAAAATAATAAATAATAGTAAAAAAAGTAATAGACAAGTAATTATTTACTATAAATAAGTGATTATTTATTAAGTATGAAATTGAATTTTACTATCAAGTTTTACTGAACGCGACCATTGAATCATAATGGGTCGAAAATCCATCCCAATCCATCCAGAAAAGAAGTAAAGAGAAGATTTTTAATCAAATTTGAATAATGATTTTCAATCTACATTCAAAAGATTTGCATTTTTAAGTTAATCTGATCGTTAATACAAATTAGTAAACTTTACAACTGTTCAATTATATATTTTATCTTGCATTATTGTCACTTAAGTAGAATCGATTTTAATTACAAATTTCTCAATTATGAAAAAGTCATATGAATTGAACATGTGAATATTCGGCGCCCTCAGAAAAGGATGTTTTTAAGTCTTGCAGTTGGCAATATTTAATCGGCCGTCGAAGCGGTCGGTTAAAGTTAGGAGTTGAGAGTTGAGATCGACCCAAGATATCTAATCTCCTCTATTCTTGAAAAGAAACATAAATGAGAACTAGGGAAATATTATAGTATACATTACGTAAATGTATTCCCGACTCTTGTCGAATTTTTGCGAACGTGCAAAGAACGTGTTTTTATATCGTGCTTCAAACAGCATTAGATGTTCGAACATTAAAACATTAAGTCATATTGCGAAAAATAAAAATGAAGAAAAGCAAAAAGTAGAAATTGTCTCCACGAAATTCCCCGATTATGAAGTGATCTATATGTTTCCTTTTGTCAAACAAGCTTGTGGTCTAAATGTTGTAAAATATCGATTTACTATGTTCATTGGGGCAGCCACACCAGTAATCATTGGATTTCATTTGACCAACTTCTTGCCCTTTGACGTAACTAGTACATCAATAACAGTTGGTAAAATAGAAACATATTTTAAATTTCTCTCAAGTAAAATTGATTTATATAAATAAATATTTTCTCTTTTCATCCACAGGAATTCTAACAACAATGTGGCTGCATGTTCTTGGATTTTTATGCAATAATCTCATAGGATGTGTATACTTGAAATTGGATGAAAAAAAAGTGATATTATCTTATATAGACTATTGGGGAAAGAGGATAGACTTGAAAGTTTCTTTCAATGAAATTTATCCCATGTCAGATAACTCGATCAGTATTACTGATCCTTTATACAAAAAGATAATGCTGACTTCACAAACGGAGATCTTAAAAATAAATATGAAGTTTGGACAAATAATCGATGTTGACAAATTTAGATGTATTCTAGGAATGGCTTAACAATTTTGTTAAATTTGTATAAAGTATTTCTATAAAGCATTATTATATTTCAAAATTAATTTATTCATACATATAGAACCTATTTTATAGCAAATTCGATTACTTTGATTACTTTAGATTGAGTATTAAAAGTTGCTATATATGAAATTAATTAAATTAAATGTAAAGTATATAAATATTTTAACAACTGAATGCTCAGTAATGATATTGTCACTTATTTAACAAAATATATTATTTCGTTGATTATAGGCTGGTTTCACCATCTCTAATCAGTTTGAATATTTCTTGTTAAATATTCAATATATTGAGTTGTCCGGAAAGTTCGTGCCGATGTTGAAGGAAAATTGAAACGCAGAAAATTTAAATTTTAATATACATTTATTAAATTATATAGGTTAGTCAGCACGAACTTTCCAGACAATCCAATAGATTAATAAGTCACAGTTGACTTAATAGATCAATCAAGCTAATCGTAAATGGTAAAATTGATCATTGATATTATTTTGCTGTATTTAGTGCTCAGAAACAATAAAAGGAATAAACGATAACAAATTTTAACTAAAAATCAGAATATATTAGGTCTTTAACAGGTTGAAATCTGTTACTTCTTGTTTTTCTTTTCATTATGTTCGAACCTTAATGTATACTAATCTAGTGCGAGTGATTAAATTTATTATTATCTACATCCATCTGAAGTGCGCATAAGCCCGATTAGCTTGGCATTTCTTGTATAATTCCTGCTTCCATTTAACTGCACGACCCTAAGACAGAGAATAGATGTCATTGTAATATCTTATACAGGATGTATATTAAAAAATTTGAAAGGATAATTCTTCATACAAATTCAAGAAAACTTGACCATATATCAGAAATGACTTTCAAACATATACAAAGTTTTATAAAAATAATCTGAATGGTTTTCGAAATTTTTTTCAACTTTGACATTCTGTATCTTTGAAACTAAATCGTTTCAGACATATGAAGTTTTTGTTAAATTTGTGATGAAGAATCACTTGAAATCTTTTAGTATACTTAATATATACCCTATAGTATACATATAGCATATTATATACATCACAATGTAGAAATTATTTTATATTTATATAAATACGTAAATATTGTGTACCTGATTTTGAGAAGCTGCTACTAATTCCTTGGCTAATACATCATAAAATCTCAAATGAGAGTCTTTTTCGTTTGCAGCTTGAATTAACCATAACATGGATTTATGCTGTGCTTTTAGAGGTGTAATTGGAATAGGAACCTAAAAGATCGATTTTACATCATCAGTTGTTACATAATTAATATTATTTAACAATATACACTGCTAAAAATTGATATTACAAGACTAAAAAAGAAAACACTACGTTTAATTAGAACGAAACTATTTTATTTCTTATAGATATATAAACAAATGATTAAAGTTTCAGAAATCCATGTTTAGTATTAACTCTTAATTTGCGAGGGATACAATATATGTTAACCACAGTTTTGAAGATAGTATTTATAGTTTTAGTCTCACAACTTTGTAAACATATAGAATGAGCTTAAAATAGAGATAAAAATTTGTGCAATAAACCTTTTAAAACTTTAATCATTTGTTCACATCTCTAACATTCTTATAGATTTTTATCTCAAAATAATATTTCTTTCTTGATTTTTTAATTTCAATTTCTAGTTACATTACTTGATATGTGATTCCTCCTTTTGAACAATTTGTTAATTGTAAAATTGGTATACAATTATCGACAGCACGGTGGAAAATTACAAATGGATCCAATTCAATTTCAGCTTTTGCTTCACTCGTCGTTGCTTTATGATAACGTTCCAGCTGTATTCTTTTGACACCTTCGAAAGTTTTCGTTACCAACATTGTCGCTAATTTCTTATTTCCGTTCTTCATAAGAGTATTAATAAATTTTCTAAATGAAGGATAAGTAAAAAAATAGTACAAAAAAGTCTGCATTGAAAAAAAGCTAAAATTAGAACAGTTTCTTACAGCACTCTTTTATCATAAAATTCGGAGCATGTATCAGTGGCTAATGCTGGTTTTATTTGCTCATGTATAATCTTCTTTGCTTCATCGCTTTGAAATAGAGTTTCTTGTTCTTCTTTATTATATACTGGTCTAATATAATTGGATGGGAAAACGCTATATCCTCTTTTAAGATTCGTGAAGTAATATCTAAAATTATTTATACTTCTATAAATGTATGAAAATTGTAAATATACAATGATTAAAATAATTGTCAAAAAGAAAGATCATAATCTATTTATAAAAATTATTTATTTTGTCTCACCTTGCCAATCCATAATTGTTTAATAATTTTGTAGACGATGTAACAAATAAACATAAATTAACCATTCTTCTAATAGCGACTATTTGTAGCATGAGGTCCGAGATCTGTTTTTTATTTTTCCACCATGATATTAGTACAGTGTGATATCAGAGAGAAACTTTCAGAGGGCAGTAGTGCGCTGAGACAGCGCACTATTTTTTGTGGTTTCAGGAAAAAGATCCTCCTCCTTTCTTTGATTTCTCCACTCTGCTAATTGCTTCTCTGTGTGCCTGTTTCCTTGAAATTTCTGACCGCAGCACAGACTTTTGCATAATGCATAAAAGAATCAACATTCTTCTTTTCCGTAAAATAGGAGGAAAGGAAGGAATATGATTGGTTGAGTCGTTTATGTATAATATATAAAGCAGTTATGCGTTGTACAAAAATCTATGTTGCCGGAGCACAGATTCTTACACAACGCATAAGGCTTAAGAAATGAACCAATCAAAATCCTCTATTTTATGGAAAGAAAGGAAAAAAGTACTTTAAATGGTTCATTTTCTTATGCACCAAACGGTCGCGTCAAGTATGCTGCTGTTGGAGATTTTGCTCGTTTTCTATTATTTGTTTCTACAATTTTCTACTTGTTAACAATGTAAAAATCCTTTTTCAATTTCTGCGCCTCTCATTTCATTTTCTCATTTTAATGTGTTGTTATACTTTATATACTCTAAATGCTTCTGTATTTCTATTATAATTGTAAGAAATTAACATATAATACAGTCTTAAAGATGTTCTCCAAAGGACGCTCATCATCATAAGGACGTCAATCAGTTTTCAAGATGCTTCTCGGAGATTGAACTGTGTTCTGAGGGATTGTTTTTAATAAAGATAGTTTTTTTATTTCAATTCTTTTTGTGGCATTATATCTTTGGCTTTTTTTTTGCAAATATATTTTAGACGAAACTATAATTACCGGTATATAGGTGCATCATTATATTGATGATTTCAAATTGTTTAGATGTGAAAATTGTGATTGCATGCATACAATCACAATTACAGTATTAATAATCGAAAAATGACTTTTAATAATCATTTTGGAATGACTGAATTATATATACACTGGAGTGGGCATCTCCGTGTGAACCATAGAAAATCGTGACACCAATGATCATTTTAATTTGGTCATTTTAATTTGATCAATATAGGTAGTCAATGTGAGGCTGCAAACGCTTTGAAGCGTTTTTTAATTGGTCAATTTGTAAAATTCTTTCTTCTAATTGGGCCATCACAGCCATTGACCACAGTCTATGAGAACGAATCAGAAGCTTTCAGATACTCATGCGCATTTACGTTTTTATTCTTTAGTGAGATATGGCTGCGGTCAAAGTCTCACTACAAATGCTTTGAAGCGTTTGGTTGACCAATTAGAAAAAAGAATTTTACAAATTTACCAATCAAAAATTGCTTTAAAGCATTTGTAGCATCGCGTTGACCTATGTCAGCAAGATTATCGTGTGGTGTGGGGTTATATTTGAAAAATTACTTTGAAAGATTATAAAATCGCATGACTGTAAAATGTGCAAAGCATCAATATGAAGTGCTATCTGGGTGTGGGCAAAGAAGTAAAAAGAGCATTTCATTTCATAGGTAAGAATTTTTATATTAAATGTATCAATTCCTGCACATATGTTAACGATATGGAATGGCTAAGGATATGAAAATTGTTATTAACGTTATTTTATTGAATGTATTAATAAAATTGAAATGACATTATTTTTATTTACATACATTCGTGTCCATATAAGATTTCCATACATCGATCGATACATCGATCACAGCGCGCGCGCGAACGTTTCTGATTCGCTCAAATATTGTCCCAACTAAAATGGCGGCTGATCAATTGTAACCACGAATTTCTCTCGATGCCCATTCCAATGTATATATATATAGTTCAGTGTTTTGGAGTCATCTTAACGTTATTTCAATATTATCATGACTTTTTGTTATGCTTGCTTATTATAATAAGCAATACTAATCTAACCTTACCCGAACCTATTTTCGAGCGTCAATTGACGTCCATGGAAAAGCACCTTAAGCGGTCGAATGCTCGTGACTCGTGATAACTTGGATAACTGTCGACGAGTAAGTGAGATTTCGTGAAGATTCATAGGTTCGGTGACTTGTGATTCGGTAGTTATCGTTGGTTATCGTCTCGGAACTTGAAAGCTGGCAACGGAATCTCACCTTTTGGATCGCGCGACAATACAAATGGTGCGATTGCTACATAATGTATACGCCAGACTGTTGAGATCCTGTGAGAAGGTCTCCTAAAAGAAGCGCCTTTGACGATTCCGTGCGGGCGCGAAACGTGAGGTTCGAGGGTGATTCTTGCCAGAATGGCGGAGAATCAGAGCAACTTATCCAGCCAGACCGGTCAAGGTATGTTGTTGTTACTCTCGTACACATGATGTCGTTTTTTATGTGAATAACTTAACCTAATCTTATCTTCGCGGTGACACAAGTCTCGATTCCCGTGGATAAGCGAGGACCACGATTTCGTCGAACGATGCATGATTCTCTCAAAGTTTCCTTCGTTACTTTCTAATAGAATCCTAACATTGCAGGTTCTGGCAGATCTTTTAATTTTCCGCGAATGGATTTTCGAACAAATAATGATGTTCAAAATGAGATGTCGGGTACGTTCGACATTATGCGATCTTTTTGAGAAAAAGAGGGAAAGAGATAGATAGAGAAAGAAAGAAATTGAAATGTTAGGATGATTTCCTCACTATCCTGCGTTCTGTTGCAGAGAGACGAAGACAGCTGAAACTTAGTTTCCAAACGCAAGGCAATAATTTGTCATTTGCCAATTCTACAAATTCTTTATTGTCAAATTCAACAGGAGCCATGGCGTGTCCACCAATGTGAGATTTTAGCAAGCAAAATAATTCCATAGGTGTTTGTCCTTTCTACATAATAAGACTGACTTTTCCATTCGTGATGATAGATCCTCTCGCCCAAGTCTGCCTTTATCTCTACCTAAGCTGCCAGTAAGATCTCGCAATATGTTACAGCAGCAAGAATTTCTTCCTGATAAGGCAAGGTATGGAATTAGAAACAAAAAGAAGGCATATCATTTGAGATAAATTACAACGGAGGCTTATTGTAGAGACAAACTACGAATGTGCCAGTCTATGCAGACTACTGGTAAATTGCAATTATCTTCAGACATAGTGTACGATTTCACAAGCGAGGACCTTCAGGATCTTGGAGAAATAGGAAGAGGAGGATTTGGAACTGTAAATAAAATGATTCATAGGATAAGCAATACCGTTATGGCTGTGAAGGTAAGTAATTAAAATTCTCATTCCTTCCAATTCTACTTAAGTCAGAAACAGAGAAACGTAAGAAAATAAGACATAAGCAATAAGCAAATTGGCTAATTATAGAGAACATAAGCTTAATGCGTTATATTTTTTATCGTGATATTAGTCAATTTGCTTATTGCTTACTGCTTTTGAATGTATCAGTTGTGCATGTTGCAATTGGATATCAACTAATCACAGCATTAAAAAAAATAAAAAAAGAAAAAAAATTCCTTGATAAAAAGTGAAAGTTGCTGTGATCGACAGTGGACAATTGTAACGGTATGCATGTGAACTGCTCCCTTATGTTTTTCTATGTGCTTCTGGCTTCAATTTACAATTTTAATTACAATGATTAGGTGTGTGCAAAAGTTTTATATATTTTTTAGTCTTCTGGTATAATTATTTAATATTCAAATAAATTTTTGTTTCTTTTTTTGCATTTTTGAAGAGTTGGCATTGAAGTTTGTGAAACATCATATATCATGATTTAATGAATATAACAGTAAACTTGAACATCCATGTATAAAGTCTTTTTTGTATCTAGTAGGATATTGAAAGTATGCTGTTTTATAAGCTCAAATCAGATGAAACAATTATTGTCAAATATTATAATTGTTACTTGAATCATTTGACAAAATCGAATAGAAAAAGCTATTTATAAATAACATGGAAATTAGAAGGTTGCTGCACATTTTGCTGCACAATGAGTCTAGGCTGCATACTTTTTGTACTCTGCAAACCATCTTTAACTTAGGCTGAAAAGTTCTCTTGTGTGCGTATTTATTTGACTTGATTACCACTTATTCCGATCGATGTATTTTTTAGTTGCATAACATTTTTGAGATGTAGCTAGAATTAGAAGATAGATTAATGATGTTATTACTTCCAAACCAATGTCTTTTTTTCGCGAAAAAATCTGAACTGAGAGATGGCAAAAAGTTATAGAAAGTAAGGACATATACTTTTATGACTTGTATTGCATAAAATTGACAAAAAATCTTTGCACACACCTAATAAATTCTATTTAGAATTTGTAAATTATTTGAATTATATTTTAGAGAATTCGCTCTACCGTGGACGAAAGAGAACAAAAGCAATTGTTAATGGATTTGGAAGTTGTGATGAAATCGAATGAATGCCCGTGTATTGTGCAATTTTATGGCGCTTTATTTAAAGAGGTATATATAGTTCGATGATATCGCACATTAATGATCAAGATAATTATTAGAGTATTTTATTCTTTCATATACAGGGAGATTGTTGGATTTGCATGGAACTTATGGATACATCGTTAGATAAGTTTTACAAGTTCATCTATGAGAGATTAAACGAGAGGATACCAGAATGTATTCTAGGCAAAATCACAGTTGCCACTGTAAAGGCACTGAATTACCTCAAAGAGAAACTAAGAATAATTCACAGGGATGTGAAACCTAGTAATATTTTATTGGATCGTCGAGGTAACATAAAATTGTGCGACTTTGGTATATCTGGCCAGCTTGTGGACTCGATTGCGAGGACTCGTGATGCTGGTTGTAGACCATACATGGCTGTAAGTTTTACAGCGTGTGTAATTAATAATCCTAAAACGAATAGCTTGTGTTAAATTGCTCATGTTTCATAAATATTATAATTATTTAGCCGGAAAGGATAGACCCTCAACGCGCACGTGGCTACGATGTACGGAGCGACGTATGGTCATTAGGTATTACGCTGATGGAGGTTGCTACAGGATACTTTCCATATCCAAAGTGGAACTCTGTTTTTGAACAACTGTATCAAGTAGTTCAAGGTGATCCGCCGCGACTTTCCCCCAATGAGAATGGCAATCACTTCACTATGGATTTTGTGAACTTTGTGAATACATGGTAGAATAACATCATATTTTTCTACCGGTACAACTACACGTTCGTTTTGGACAATCCTTATGACAATCGTTTGTATTATCTGTTAAGCTTAATTAAAGAGGAGACGCAGCGACCGAAGTACAATAAACTGCTGGAACATCCGTTCATCAGACAAGCCGAGGAAGCGACGATCGATGTCGCGGCGTACATCAGTGGTGTTCTGGACAATATGGCTAATAACGGAGTGACACCGTTCACTACTAATCAACCATAAGAATCGGTAATTAAAGCAGTGAGGTGACTGCAGGGCATGTCACACATCATAATACATCGGTTTTTGCAGTTCTCTTCAAACTTTTACCTTTCGAATACCGTGTATGAACAATGTTATTGCACTCCGAACGATATCTCGTAGATAGCGGAAACCGATGACTGTTTCAGTCGACATGCGTCGTCGTCTCACTTAGAATTTGTATTCTCGTGGTCATGGAATGACCACGTGTGCGCAATAGAATGACTATTGAGAAGCGCGCTGGCGAGCTGGCATTTGTTAAATTGAATTACAATCGGTATGCACGTACGTTTTTTCTCCTCGTATTCCATCTCTCTCCTTTTCCTTCTCTTCCTCTGACTCTTAAACATATACGTGCGTGCGCGCGCGTGCGCTCATACACAATACAATCGTAGGTATACATCACATTCTGACAGCGTTTTCTTCGGTTCATGTAATTCGCGCAATAACGCGACTTATTCAATGAAATATTTATATTTATATATTAGAATTTCTAGCGGATCATGCATATGCATGTATGTATGCACATATTTATGCGGATATATGTGTATATGAACTTGTATTTGTATCTGTACAGTGGACTGTAATTCGTGGTACAAAAAGAATTGATTTTTTATGTAAAGATAAATTGAAAAAAAATATTACATTTTTATATACAAAACACCTTCTGACTTTATTATTATTTATTGTTAGTTCTATTTGCGCATGTCTATAAGGATAACATTTACTTTTCTCACCGATTAAATCTACTTAAAATTCTCTTATTAAGGGATCTCTTTGAAAGCCGCTTTTAGGAATTTTTTTGAAAAAATCTATTGGAATTTTGTAGATTTTGGTACGTATATTGAATTAGCTTTAATATATAAAAAATTTGATAGATATATTCATTATTAAGTTCTAAATTATTAGCGTTCAATGCACTATAAAAAAGTGCAGTGTGCATATCTCGACTCTGAATGATCCTGAAAGATATTTTCATTTGTGAATGTTTGTAGAGAACATGAACCTGGGAAAAGGAGAGAAGTGAAAAATAATAAAATGACGTCAATCAAAAATCAAAAGTTAGTTTTTTTTTACGTGCAAATCGATTTTTAAGAGCAACAAAAATTTTGGACTTTCAGAAAATTCGAAGAATTCTTCAAAAAGAAATATTTTACATCTTTTCCGATCTTTACATAAATAATCGCTTTCTTTTTCATTCACGAATTACAGTCCATTCTGTACAAACGTATAACTGTTTCTTGTCTAAAAGTCCTGATTTCCATAATCTTTCATAAGGAACATCGTAGGAGTTGACTCGGCAGACTAGTCGTCAAGATGATATCGAGGATACATCCGCATTGGCCATTTTTTGAGGATTTTCTTAGGACAGATTTAAATACGAGTATCAAATATTAGGAGTGCTATAATGTAATGGAAATAAATCATCGACACTCGCAGTTCTCTCTTCTCGCTAAACTCCCCTTATTTCGCCAAGTTTTCACGCCTTACTGATTCCTTTTACGACTAATTGTCCCTCTTATCTTGCACGTGGCGGTTCGTCTACCGGCAGATTTTAAAAACTGCGGGTCCAGGTGCAATTTCGCCGTTGTGCGAACGTTAGAGTCTTCGCCAATCGTGTTCTCTTCTTCTGTATCTGATTAAATTTTTCTGTAAAATATTCTGGTGTAATATAAACAATTAGAAAAAAAATAAGAAAAGACAATATAACAATCAAATGAAATAAACGGCCAAAGATGAGTTAATAACAAAAAAATGTTAAAAACCTATTGATTGTATTTAATGTTGGGTACATTAAAAATTAAGCAGAATTGGTTTTAACTTTACAAAATTTTTTTAGTCATGATTTACATACAAATTTAATTAAATATAATAAAAGATTATAGACGCTTGAGGCTTCCACACTTTCTATACAGAAATTATGTGTTTCGCGGATTATCTCCTTCAAATCCATTCTTAGAATGCCAGTGTTTCGTGAACATTGCAGTTCATTAGGGCGAGGAGCAGCCTGATACTGTATATAATAAAAGATTAAATATCACAAAGATAAAAATTACTAGACTCCACGCTTAATTTTAATTACATCCATAAATTACGTCCACAAAAATGTAAATGTCACACACACACACACACACACACACACACACACACACAATCTCAGATTCATAAAGTTATAATGATATGATCCATAATGCATCAGTCTTAGATTCATCATAACATTTGATTGCTCTTGATATTTTCAACTTCATAAACTATAGTCGAATATTCGAAGCTTAATTTTTCATTATGAATTCCATTACTTAATTTAAAAAATAATATCGCAGGACACAATATAATTTTTATCAGATATATCAATTGAGAATGCAGAGAAGAAAAGATTACAATTCGATAATTTGCTGCTTCGAATCTTTCTTTCGCGACGAAACTTGTTTCACGCGAAGGTGATAGGATAGAGAGGACTGCTTCCTGCAATCCTTGCAAATTGTTATATTTAAACTTATTCTGCTCAAGCTATCTCGTCGCATTTTTCACGCGAGAATGAACCTTTGAAATAAGTAATGACTGTAATCGATAACCCTGGCGATTGTGCACGCGCACCTGCTATACCTGTCGTAGTGGTATCGTTTGTACAGGTAAGAAGATGGCGGTAGAATGGTGCTATGGTGGTTGATGGTGCCAGTGCTCTTCAATGGCAGTCGTTAGTTCGGATAGAACTACCGTGACTAACAATCAATTTGATAAAACGATCTCGGATTCTTGCAAAAGGAAAAAATGAGCTCGCTGAACATCGACATTGAATTGAAGTTAATCGAATAAGAACATTTAATTAGCTTCTGATAATTTATCGCGCGCGCGTGATGATATTAACAAATAGTGTATCATCGTATTTCAAATTTTAAGATAATGCAAGGATCGTGTGCAGTATCAAATATTTACTTCGAATGGAAATAGATTGAAATAATCTATGAACAATATCTCCAAATGATACGAGGATTATTTGCCGCTTGAGAATTTTCTTCAATCAGTCAGTGTCGCGAAGTGTAAATTCGAATTGGGGGTGAGTTTGGTGAGTATATAGTTTTTATTTTGTCTTTTCAAATTGCTGAAAACATAAGATTGCTATAGAATCCAGTGCGCAAATTACACCACGAAAAAGTGCACGATTGAAATTGAAGTCTAACTTTAGGTCGGCACACGAAATCTTAATTTCAAAACCTAACATAGAAACTGAGAAGAAGTTTCGGAGAAACATTTTTAAAAACAATATTAAGAGTATTACCAATAAACAATATTAAGAGTATGACAATATTATATTTCTTAATGACACTTTAAAAAATTGATTTGAATTTTTTAAAATTAAAATGACAGTAATAGAGAGATAAGGTTATAGAAAACTTTAGTAATATGATCAAGAAAAAACAATTAAAATAATATAATTTGGAATGCAAAAGGGTAGAAGAATAAATAAGAAGAATTAGAAAAGAGAAACTCCAAGTAGAATATCATAATAATAATAAAAACGAGAGTTTGTAGATGGATATGAGAGCACTTGAAATATATAGAGATAAACATATAATTCTTCTTAATTCTTCCTTTTTATTTTTTTAATACCCTCTTGTGTACCCAAAATATATTAATAGTCTTTTTTTTTAATTACATTACTCAATCTTTCTATAATATCTTGAATTATGTATATCAACGCAATTTTAATTATAAAAATTCAAATCAATTTAAAAAAAATGTTGCCATTAGAAAATATACTTTCAGTATTATTTAAAAAATTTATTATCGAAAACAACATAAAGACGAAGTAAGAGGAGAAGTTGGTTTTTCTTTTCTTTTCTATAATCATTTATTATTATTTGCTGAGAGAGACATCGAAGCGTAAGGATTTCATGGTTTTGCAGACGTCATTATCGCCATGAATAGTCGCGGTGTAGATGTCTGCTACTGCTGCTGCTGCTATTCGCCATCGGAATCAATTCTCTTGAATATTTTATGCGCGAGCGCCTCCGCCCTCCCGGAACTCTGGCTTGCGTCCACGTCGGAGTCTATATCCGTAACCTCCGGCGTATTATCCGGTCTTTTAAATTGCCCACTGAAATACGTCCACATCATTTTTATCGCGACCCGCTACATTCTCAGGAGCAACAGGAGTACACCGCCACAACTGACCCCTCATATTTCTTAAGAAGAGACAATTGCGTCATATATTCTTCGTCTGCATTTCATGCAGTTGTATCGCTTCCTTTGATTTGCAAAATCAACCGCGAGAAAATCCTTCATACATTTCGAATCGAACATTTATATAGAATTGATTTCCAAAAAATAAAAAAAAAGTCTAAAAAAGATAGGCGAATCGTCGATAGTATTATTGTAAAACGACGGATCACAACGAGACCATGCATACGCTATATAATCTATTCCTACACATCGTGTCCGCGTTTTTCCTTCGCCCAGTATTCATCGACTTGTATTCACGTCATTTCGACTATAATCGGAATGTAATCCAGTGCGAAGAGCGTCATCAAAATGGATCGTCTTGTAATAATGTGTCCGCAATCGATTCGAACGCAGATAGTACTGTACGCTATGCTAGTCCCATTATGTCTCTTTTTGCGCGGCGCATAATGTTACGTTGTTGCATGTAATACATCACTTTGCGAGAGCGTGGTGGGCGCGTGCGGACTAAAGCTCTTTAATATAGAGCTTTAGCGCGGGCAGGTAAACGTTAACATGCAACGATGGTAGTGACTCACGGTTTGACGGTCGCGCGTTTGCGAGCATAATACGGGGACTACGGGGAGGGAACTCGGCAGGTGCTTGCTACTGCCGGTTGCTGATACTGGCTGCTACTCCGCTACCACCACCTTCAACGAGGTGGCCAGTCAGCTGGGTAACTCGGCAAGGCAGACGGATGTTTCCAGCAGATTATTGATCGAAACAGATACTTCCACTGACAATAATGTAACCGACAATGGGAAGTCCTCAGCGATGGCGTCCGTACAAATTCTTTTCGGATTCTCTATTTCGGAATCTCTTATTTTCTGAGATTTGTCTCTGCCCAGCAAACGAGAATGGATTGAAATGAATTGAAATGGGTTCAGATTTTCAGAAATATTGATTTATGAATGTTAAAATGAATGCTTTTCAATCCTGAATACATTTTTATTCATTTATAGGAATTGTAATCTTGGAGCATATCTTGGTGTCTTTCAATCTAAAAATAATGTTAGCTTTTCCTGTGCACAATAACATAATTGTGAATACGGTTCAATTCAAAATTTTAAATAGGAAATGCAGTTTTTCAATCCAATTGCATCTAATTGAATCCAATTGAATTCAATTAAATCCAAAAAAAAAGTATTCGCTATTTAAAATACGCATTCGGATAAAACAAATTTCAATCAATTTTAATTCATTCTCGTTTGCTGAGTGCGTAAAGATTTGTATGATTTGCTCTAGAATTTAATCCCTTCGGACTTTCACTCTC